GCCATGTTGACTCCTCTGTAGTAGGTCTGTTTTTGATTTCAAGTTAATTTCTGTGTTCATTGAAGTAGTTTAAGTTTTAATTTTTGGATCAAAAGTCCATTGTAAAAAGTTGACTTCTCAGTGAATAGAAACCATAATCATTAACCCTGGTGAAAATGTCAAAATATTGAAATAAACCATTAGATGAGGCATAAACAGGCCCGCATGCTTCAGTTATCCCAATCATCACCAATAAACCTAGGTGATTATTTCCATCTTCTGTTTAGTTTTGCCAGTGGTGGTTTTATATTTTTGGATCAGGTACCTGGAAACTTTGTGATAAAGTATTTCATTGAGAGAGTAGTCTGAGGTTCATATCATATAAGTATTACAACTTTCAGAATCTTACATCCTTGACACAACTAAGAATGGAAATGGGTCTTTTCACTGTCTTGGGAGCAGCATCTCAGGTAGACTGAATACGTGAATAGGGGAAGTGGTTTCTGTTCCCTGTACTTCCTATAATCATCTCTTCCCCATTTCTATTTCCCTGCTGTGATTGATTTTGTATGTTCTTTTTATTTCCTATGCTTTGTTTTATTTTCTAAAGACAAAAAGACAGTTAGCAGAAAGTAAAATGAAAGCTCTGTAGGAACAGAGATTTTGTTCTGTTTTATCTTAAACACCAAGAATAGTTCTTGGACATAGAAACCTCTCAGTAAATATTTGTTGAATGACTAAATGAATGATTGAATGAAGGAAGTTAATGCAGACCCTTAAAATTCTTCCTAGGTAGAACCTGTTATTGTTCAAAGATTTTTCAGACTTTTCTTTTTTTCATTTGCTTCATTTTTTTCATTTACTTTTTTTCATTTTATATTTTTGATTTCTAAAAAAAAATAATTTGGTGAAACAAATTTGAAGAAGAGGAAGTATCCTACTAAAAATGAAAAGTATTTTTTTTGCATCAACAACACTGTAATGTGACAATAGAGTATCATACTATAAGGGTCAGTTATAGAAAGTCAACTTTAATGATTTAGCTCAGAAATGATACAGTAAGTGCTAATACCCTCTTAAAATTTCTTAAAAAGAAATTTTTAAGTCATAGCAAAAAAACTACTCAAAGATTATTTTAATATGCAGTCTTTAAAAACAATTATGAATTTCATTTTTCATAATCAAGAATCTCTGAGCCCAGGTGTGAAGGTCAGTGACCTTAGGAATAACTGCCTGTGTGTTCTGTCAGTATTAATTGTCTTTCCAGTCTGAGGTACTGGCCCTGTATTTGAGATACAGTGGTAAGATAGCCTGTTGAACGGAGCTTGGGGCAGTACATTCAAACTCAGATTTTTATGATTATCAAAAGTATTTCTTACTAATAATTTTAGGACCCCGTTCAGGTGTTGGTTTTCCTGAGGAGCCATCCCTGAGACAGCCTGTATTAGGTAGTCCTAGTGCCCTTGGGGTTTTGTGATTATCACTGTCTCAGCACTGTTTTGTATTTAATTCTTAATATACTAATTTGTCTCCTAGGTAGCTTTATGAGGGCATTTTCCTGTTTGTGTCCTAAGTCCCTGGCACAGCGCCTGCCTGTAAGCATACAAAGATCAAACTGTATCAGGAACGATGATAAGGGGAAGGTCACATTGCTAATTGTGGAGTATGGCTAGTTTTGCATAGGTCCTTAGAGTTATGGGAAAACTATGAGGTAGTGGAGGTCAATGGAAAACTAAACGAGATTGGAGTCAGAGGACCAGGTTCCATTCTAGGGGTTTTTGGTGTGCTACCTCTAATCTTCATAGAAAATCTGTGAGGCAAGTAGTGTCATGAGGAAACTAAGGGGCAGAGAAGTTAAGTAAGTCATCCCAGGTGTCCTTTAGTAAATGGTAAAACTGACAAAAAGCCTGTGTTTTTCTGACTTAATTCCACTTCCTCATTTATAAATGGAAATTGATCATTCTGTTTGCCCTATTTACCTCATAGAATCATCCAAAGAGATAAATCTGTATCTAGTAGCTACAAGTAAAAGCATGAAAAACTTGTTTTTATTAGCTGTGTGTGCTTTGTTTTGACTTTGATATGATTTTTGCCTGTATCTTTGCCTTATTTGAACTGACCTGCTTGTTCAATTAGTAACTGTTGAAGAGGTAAGGGGAGTTAATTATTCTCTTTTAGTTCCCCTAAATAAAAAAATACCTTTATTTCTTTTAGAAATGGAAATCCTGGGACAAAGGGTTTGCACATTTAAAATTTAGATAAGTATTTCTGATAGTCCTCCAGAGAGTCTGTAACAGTTTTTCCTTTTATGAGCAGTGTAGTATGTGAGCATGTTTCCCCACAACTTTGACATATCTGGGCAATATCGACCTTTTAATACTTGAGAAAAATAATCGGAATTTATTTACTATTTGGGAAGTTGGGCATCTTTTTATGTTTCTTGGTTATTTATGTTTCTTTTATGCTTTGCCTACTAGTAGCTTTTATTTTTCTACTTGGTTATCTGTTATTGATTTGTAGGAACCTTTTTATATATAACATGTTGTAGATATTTTTAAGTTAGTTGCTTGTATTTTAACTTGTTCATGGCATCTTTTTTTATTTTTATGTAGTCAAATCTGTCTTTATGGATGGTTTCTAGCCTTAATGTTCTGCTTAGAAGGCCTTCCCTTTGCCATGATTATAAAAGTAAACTTAAAATTGTGTTCCTTTTTCTACTCATATACTCAGTAGAATTACTCCATGCAGGTAAGAGTGATGTTTAAATCCATTGTTTGGGAGCATGGTTAGCCACTAGACTTGTTCTTCTTCATTTCACAAAATCTTTAAAGACCTTGAATTACTAGACAGGGAATGTTAATTGAGGAGTAAGGTGAAGTAGCACCATAAATTAAGGCCAAATTGGTGACCTTTGCCTCAACACAATATGGCTGACTGCTCATGTTGGAGATAATGTTAAAAAGTGTGAGTAGATTAGCTTTCATTCTGATAAAAATTATTTTCTAAATATTTAGGCTTTTAGTGTATATTGATTTAGATTTCTGTAGTTTATGTTTTGCCATCAGACTTTAATGGCATGGGGAGTGTCAGGGAGTAGGGTAAAGGGGAAGTAAAGTAAATGAAAGAGGATGTGGCTAGAAAGAACCACTTAGGAAAGAAAGATGGTGTAACAATATTGAGGAGTGTCAATGAGGTATAAAAATCAGAGAGCTCAATGTTAGCAACAATTCCATTTCCTGAGTTATGTTTTGTTTTTCTTTTCCTGGGGATCTTGAGCATTTACGGTCCTAATACAGACTGAAAACCACCACTCACCTTAACCTGATTCTTAATATTCAGTTTTGGTATTTACATGGTGCACATGCACTGTGTGTGTTTTGAAACAACCAGAATCACTTGGTAATTTCAAAGTGAAACTCTGCTGTAAAACTCATTTCCGCTAGAAGCAATAGAATTAGTAGTTGTCAGCCACAAACGCAATTCTTTGCAAACTATGGGAAGACTGTGGCTTTGTTTATTGTCCATCTCTTCTTTAGCATCAGGCACAAATGTCTCAGTTCATAGCAGAAGTATCCATTCTGTAAACTTTATTTTTTTGACTTTGGTCTTAAGAGGATGAATTTGTGACTTTTCTATATTAAGAAATTTACAGAAGAGGGTATCAAATCAGGGTAGTCTTTAATCTCTTAAAAAATTTTAATATGTCTGTGTACCTCATTTATCTATTTTGTTTATTGGCTTCAGTACAAAGCTATTTGTGTGTGCGTTAACATACTTGTTTTGACATTTTAAGAGTATGACAATGACTGTTAGGAACTAGGAAATAATAGTTAACTTTTGACACTTCACAAAATACTTTTAACAGGTATTTTCCTCACCACAACAAGGAGAGAGGTTGGAACAGTTAAAATTATTGAAAACTCAGGCTTATAAACATAAGCTCTTGAACCCAATTCTTTGGAATGTGGATCCTAAGTTCTCACTATTCTGTCTTCCTTACAACCTTGCCTGTGAGTCAGATGATTGTAAATTGAGATGTTTCAGTGATGTGAAGGGATAATAGTTCATAAATGAAGGGAAAGGAAAGTTTTTATTGAGGCAAAATTGTGATAGATGCATAATTAATCTTAATAAAGAGTAGGTAGTATTAGTCCTGCTTTACTAATGAAGAAACAGATTAAATTAGAGTAACTTGCTCAAGGTCACACTGATAGAAATCACTAGATCAGAGATTCAAACCAGGGCTTTCTGATTCTAAGGTCTATTCCCTTTTCTTTATACCATAGTTCCTTCAGAGCTAAAATCTCAGAACGTAGGGAAGAATGCACATGCAATGGATAAGAAAAGTGATTTTAAGAATAAATTACATTATAAATTGTGAAAATATTGTAACTGTTTCAGTATGATTAATTTGAACTCCACAGTTTAACATAGGGTAGAATAATTAAAGAGAATATTGTAATAAGTTTTAAATGTTTTTATTTCAGTGTTTGAGGAAATATAAAGGAAAATAATGTTAAGGTTCTTAGTTATAAAGGTCTTAAATTATCAAGAGTCATGTTATTCTCTCATGTACATCTCATGGGCAAGGATTGATTATAGGGCAAAGATGTATCTTCAATTTTTATTTTCTTTCCTACTGTGCCTGGGATGATGGGGTGAGTATGTGCATGCATGATCAGTAAGTACTTGTTCCTTGCCTCCTTAGTAATTGTTTTTTAGCTGTTGTTAACAAAAATTTCATTTACTTATTTTTGCCATTTTGGGCCAGATTCTGGGAATTAATATTACTTTTCATTAGGCAAATTATTTTTACCTTAGGTAATTTTGCCAGTTAACTTTTGCATATAAAAATAATACTGTTGCACACATTGAACTGCATATAAAAACAATACTGTTGCACACACTGAACTGTCTTGATATGAAGAAATTACTGAGGCTAAGCCAGTGTGTGTTCCTTTTGACAGTTAAAATTATATTTTGTCTAGTTACTGTTTATGAATTTCCTTGTTTGCTTTTAGGATATTCGGAAATTCTTTGGGGCTATACCTAGTGGAAAGAACCTTGTAAGTGACTCAGTAAAGAAGAATGAGAAAACAAAGTCTGCTGAAGAAACTTTAAAAACAAAGAAAGGAATAAAGGAAATCAAGGTCAGTTTTACAGGTATAATTCTGAATTGTATAAAAGGTTAAATCAACTCAGTTCCTAGACTTGATATATTGGGAGCCTCGAGTAAATATAGTTTCAACTCATTTAGAAGAGGGGAAAAAAGTAATAAGGTGCTTCTCACTTCTAATAAGTATATCTTACTATGTTCATAGCTTGGTGTTTTCCTGAAGTAGAGAAGGAAAGCTTTACAGTTTTAAGACCAAAATTTGGTCATAGAGACATGAGCCCCAGGTGAATAGTGTACTTCTGGCAAGGGATGGCTTTGGAGGAAAATTTTATTTTCTCCCTGTCCTCCTTGGGCCTCAAAGAAATTAAGATACAACTTTACTATGGAAAGCAGGCAATGGCCACAATAATGAATCTCAGTTAGTACTGTTACAGTCTATGTAAAATTTAAGAATTTTGCAATTCTACAGGCCTCTTTACCACCATCCCAGCGTTTATGTCTTAGTTGTCATATGTATTACATCTACATACATCAGTATTCCAAACTCAGTGTAATAATTTTGTTCCAAAGGGACATGTGTTTTATTAAAGAAATTGAAAGGGAAAAGTTGATCATTTATATTTCTGGGTCTATCTGAATTTCCATCGAATATTTTCTTTAAATGTGAGGAATTTTCTTTAGCATTTCTTGTAGTGTAGGTCTGCTGACAATGAATTTTGTAAGTTTTTATCTAAAAATGTCTTTGTCATCATTCTTGAAGGATGATTTTGCTGGATATGGAATTTTGGTGACAGTTTTTTGTTTCAGCACTTTAAAGATGTTCCACTGTCTTTTGGCCTCCATTTTTCTTGGTGAGATACTAGCAGTCATTCATTTTGTTTTCTTTTGTATGTAATGTGTTTTTCTCGTGCTGCATTACAGATTTTTCTCTTTATCTTTTGTTTTTAGCTTTGAGTGTGATATGCCTGGGTATGATTTTTTGTTTTTATCATGTTCAGGGTTTTCTGTGCTGCTTGTATCAGTATACATACCTTTTATCAAAGTTGGGGATTTTTGCCATTATTTCTTCAACTATATTTTGCTTAATTAACTCTGCATTTTGGGGATTCCAATTATAAACATGTTAAAGTTGTGATAGTCTCACAGATCATTGAAGCTTGTTCATTTTTGTTTTTCTTTTTTCATCTGCACTTGAGACTGGATAGTTTCTCTGTTACTATCTTAAAGTTCATTGACTCTTCTGTCTTATCTCCAGTTTGCTGTTGACCCTGTTTAGTGAATATTTTAAATATTGTATTTTTCGGTTCTAGAATTTCCATTTGGTTCCTTTTCATAGTTTTTGTTTTTTCCCTTTATGATCTTCAGTGTTACTATGATAGCTGCTTTAAAATTCTTATCTGTTAATTCTAGCATCAGGGTTATATTAGAATTGGTCTCTATTAAATACCCTTTTTCTTGAGTCTGTGGCTCATGTATTAGTCAGTTTGGGCTACCATAACAGCATACTATAGGCTGGATGGTTTAAACAACAGAAATTAATTTTCTTACAGTTCTGAAGACAAGAAGTCTATGATTAAGGTGCCATACAATTCAGTTTCTTTGAGAGCTCTCTTTCTGGCTTGAAGATAGCTACCTTCTTGTGTTCTTACATAGTCTTTCCTCCATGTGGGATACTCTTCTCTTACTTTTGAGTTATTGTCGTTTCTAACTCTTGTCTTCTAGTCCAGTGATATTTTTGAATTACAATGGTTCATTCATCTCTTTTTGTTACAAGCTACTTGTTTGTATGTTTCTGAAGTTTTAATATAATGGATAGGTATATGTTTATACCTTATAATTGATTACACTGAGTTTTTTTGCTGTTTGCTTTCTTGATACTTCTTGGGAAAATTTGAGTATGTTTAAAGTGTGATGTATAACTGCAAAATATTAATAATACCTTTTGATTATGTTAGAAATGTGACATAATTAAAAAATACAAATAATACCTTTTGCCTTGGTTTTATTTAGTTTTCTAGTAGGCATTTGGTACTAGTGGTCTCATAACTCCTCAGCCTTTATTTCTTTCTCTTTTGTTTTCAGGAAGCACTTGCCTATAACATGACATCCTTTTATTCTTTGTTGTATATAGGTTAGTGTTGTAAGTGGTGCTGAATAATAATACAGCTTTTCCTATAATTCTTTCTTTTCCATCTGATACAATTATTGTCTGGCCTGTTCTTTTTTTTGAGAAATAATTGACAAACAAACAATCACTATATAAGTTTGAGGTGTACAATATGAAGGTGTACAATATGATACATCTGTTTTGAAAAGATAACCACAACAGGTTTAGTTAACATCTGTTATCTCATATAGCTAAAATAAAAAAGAAAAAATACTTTTCCTTTTATGAGAACTCTTAGGATCTACTCTCTTGCAACTTGCCTATATATCATATAGCAGTGTTAGCTATAGACATCATATTGTGCATTGTATCCCTAGAACGTATCTGTCAACTGGAAGTTTGTAGCTTTGACCACCTTCCCCTTCCTGCACTCCTGCCACCTTTGGTAACAACAAATCTGGTCTCTATGAATTTGGTGGGGCTTTTGTTGTTGTTGTTTTTAGATTCCACGTATGAGATTATATAGTATTTGTCTTTCTTTGTCTGACTTATTTTCACTTAGCATAATCCCTTTAAGGTCCAGCCGTGTTGTTGGAAATGATAGGATTTCCTCATTTTTTGTGGCTAAATAATACTCTGTTGTATATACCACAACTTCATCCATTTATCCATTGATGGACATTTAGGTTGTTTCTGTGTCTTGGCTCTTGCAAATAATGTTACAGTGAACATGAGAGGGCAGGTCTCTTTTTGAGTTAGTGTTTTCATTTCCTTTGGATGTATTTCCCAGAATGGAATTGCTGGGTCATATGGTAGTTCTATTTTTAATTTTTTGAGGAATCACCAGCTGTTTTCATTAGTGGCTGCACCAATTTACAATCCCACCAACAGTGCACAAGGATTCATTCCCTTTTCTTCACATCTGTACCAGCGTTTGTTATCTTTTTGTCTTTTTGATGATTGGTCTGGCCTATTCTACAGCCTAATTAATTAGGACATTATTGACATTTTGGGCTGGATAATTCTTTGTTGTGGAGGGCTGTTGTGTGCATTGTAGAAGATGTTTAGTAGCATCCCTGGTCTACCTATTAGACACCAGTAACACCCCCAGCTCTAAGTTAGGACAAGCAAAAATGTGCCCTGGTGGGTTAAATTCCCCCTGGTTGCAAATCACTGAGCTCAAGATAATGAGGAAAAATGGCTAAGTTACATAGACCTCTTCATGTTCTAATTATACTGTGATGTTCATAGGTAAATAGTTCTTGTAAAGATGACTCCAAACAGAAGCAACCAAATAAGAAAAAGAGGATCATCTATGATTCAGGTAAGACTTCTTCTGAGGAGCTTTAAATTTTGAAAATTATTTTATATCCCTTTGAACAGTGTTTTCCACACTGATGTTCTGAGACACACAGCTCTTTGTGATGTTAATAGATGTCTGAGGAGAGAACTCTGTGCCCAAATCAAATTGAAAACATTTTCATTATACTGTAAAATTGATCATAGCCTAAGCATATTAATGTATTAAAGATCTGTTCAGAGGAGGATACAGTGTAAGTAGCATGTCTCAAACTTACTTTGATTATGTATATTTGTTTTTTGAAATAGTCATATTCTCTTCCAGCTGAGGTTTTTTGAAACTGAATTTGAAAGATAGTGCCTTAAATATTGCTTTAGAAACAAAAACCTAGAATTTAACTTTTGCTTTTGGTCTGGTCCTTTTTTGTTGCATTTAGAAAGGAACAAATAATTTAAGAGCTTTTCTTTGGATATACTTTTAATTCTTTTGTGCATGCCTTTTATACTATGTTAAAATAATGGTAGAAATCTGAAAGTTTTAGGTTTTGCTTTTGTGGAGAAGATCCATCTGGTTTGAATTCTTAAAATTAAAAATATAATCTAAGGAAACATTTATAGATTGTCAGGATTTGACAGTGATAGCAAATTTTCTGACTCAGTTCTGCAAGTACTTGAATGTTTATTGTGAGTTTTTTAATGCTTTATACTGTGAGGAATTTGAAATAAGTACATAACCTCATTCCCTAGGCGTTTGCATCTTTTGGGAAACTGGAAATTTAATTGTTTGACACAATTTAGAACAGTATGAGACAGAATTTATAAATGCACGGTGCAGAGGAAGACGAACGATACCAAAGTTTATGAAACTTATTTCATACCAGGGACTATACTAGATACTTTCTCTTTGTCTTGATTTGTATTTAAGTGCTCTGAGTGATTAGGTGTGTAGTAGACTGAATAATGGCCCCCAATATGTCCATGCCCTAGTTCCTATAACCTATGGATATGTTAGGTTACATGACAACAGGAAATGAAAGGTGTAGGTGGCCAGAAGATTGATAATTAGATGACCTTAATATAGGGGGACTATCCTGGATTATTCAGGTGGGCCCAATAATGTAGTCACAAGGAAGAGGAAAGTGAAAGAAGAGTGAGAGAGATTTTTCACTGTGACAGGTCAGAGGACCAGAGAGATGACAGCATGAGAAGGACTTTGCCTGATGTTGCTGCTTTAGAGGTGGAGGAAGGGGGCCAGGAGAGTGCGAGCAGTCACTAGACACTGGAAAAGGCAAGGAGATGGATTCTTCCCTGGAGTATCCAGAAAGGGTCACAGCCAAACTGACATCAATTTTAGCCCAGTGAGACCCATACTGGATTTCTCACCTTCAGAACTATATGATAATACATTTGTATTATTTTAAGCCGTTAATTTTGTGGAGATTTGTTACAGAAACAAGAGAAAAGATTAAAGTACATAACCTCATTCCCTAGGCGTTTGCATCTTTTGGGAAACTGGAAATTTAATTGTTTGACACAATTTAGAACAGTATGAGACAGAATTTATAAATGCACGGTGCAGAGGAAGACGAACGATACCAAAGTTTATGAAACTTATTTCATACCAGGGACTATACTAGATACTTTCTCTTTGTCTTGATTTGTATTTAAGTGCTCTGAGTGATTAGGTGTGTAGTAGACTGAATAATGGCCCCCAATATGTCCATGCCCTAGTTCCTATAACCTATGGATATGTTAGGTTACATGACAACAGGAAATGAAAGGTGTAGGTGGCCAGAAGATTGATAATTAGATGACCTTAATATAGGGGGACTATCCTGGATTATTCAGGTGGGCCCAATAATGTAGTCACAAGGAAGAGGAAAGTGAAAGAAGAGTGAGAGAGATTTTTCACTGTGACAGGTCAGAGGACCAGAGAGATGACAGCATGAGAAGGACTTTGCCTGATGTTGCTGCTTTAGAGGTGGAGGAAGGGGGCCAGGAGAGTGCGAGCAGTCACTAGACACTGGAAAAGGCAAGGAGATGGATTCTTCCCTGGAGTATCCAGAAAGGGTCACAGCCAAACTGACATCAATTTTAGCCCAGTGAGACCCATACTGGATTTCTCACCTTCAGAACTATATGATAATACATTTGTATTATTTTAAGCCGTTAATTTTGTGGAGATTTGTTACAGAAACAAGAGAAAAGATTTAACACTGGATAGAAGTAATCTATGAGAATTTGCAAAAGGGGTTGTCCTTGAAAAGGGCCTTGAGAAATTGGTTGAAAATAACCACCTTAAATACATACTGTGTCGTATTATTTGTTTTCCAGAGCTGTTTTATTTTCTTCTCATGTACAGATTCAGAATCTGAGGAGACAGTGCAGGTGAAAAATGCCAAAAAGCAAGCAGAAAAATTGCCATTGTCTTCTAAACCTGGTAAAATTCTACGCCAGGATCCTGTTACATACATTTCAGAAACAGGTAAGGGTACTGAATATATGTATTGTTTTATAGAGAAGCAGTGTGTGTTATATTCTTGAGCTTCTCATTGGTGTCTAAATGTACCTCCTTCACTTTGAGTTGAATTTGTCTTCCCTATTTTGCTTTGTTGAATAATTGTCAGGGGAAGGCTGTCATCATCTTTGGCATTTTATGTGTGTTAAGGGCCAGTTGCAGGGGAATATTATTGGGTTGTTTAAAAAAATTTTTTTAATGTAATTTTTTTATCTTGCATGCTGAAGTTAAAACTGTACAATGATTATTCACATTTGTGATTATAATCTAGCACAGATCTGACCTGAATTCCTTATATTCTATGGAGACACTAATGATTTTAGCATTGGTTTTTTTAAAAAAGTAATTGTTTTGTACTTACGTTTATTTGCTTAATCTGTTTTGAGTGGTCAAAAAGCAAAAGACATTTATAAATAATTGTGCACTATTCTTAAGATTTCATGATATAAATAATTGTTTCATAGATAGTAATCTTTAAAGGTGAGTCACCCTGAATTATATGGTCATTTTAGGGGAGAAAACTCAGATGGTTGTTTTGGACAGACATTTTGGTTCCACCTATTTTTAGCTCCTAGTGGAGATCATAATAGGAATAAAAGGTCAGCTGTATTAATCTTTAAATTCACAGAGCCTGTTGAGTCCTATATAGAAACGTTTGAAGGTGTCATGAGAGCATCTGATACCTCACTGGTTTATTCATATTGAGGACAACCTCGGAAATAGCCCTCTGCCTTTTGTACTCCTAGTGAAGTGAATATACTTGGTTTGAAGAGACAGGGTAAAAGCTGCATAACTGTTTTGGCACAGCATGTAACAATTTATATTCCATAGACATTTAGTGGATGTCTTTTACATCCCAGATATTAGGTGCTGGAGATTACAAAAGATGACTGAAGACTCCGAAGTAGTGGACTGGCCTGAGGCCACAGTATGCAACAGTCAGGGAGAGGGCATGATGGAGTGGCTAGATTTGGTGTTGCCCTTGAAGAGTGAGCAGGTGATGGAGGGGAAGAACATGTCAGGTTGGGGATGGGACTATTTAAGGCTCAGTGTCCAGCACAAGCTTATGTTTATAGAATTCTGAAGTTCATAGGATACTGAAGTGATGGCTTGCCCATGTGATGAGAAGTAGTGGGAAGTAGAATTAGGGAAGACCTTGACAGCCAGATGCATTAATTTAGATTTAACGTAGCAGGGAAAATGGAGCCATTAAAGTTCTTGAACAGAGTTGTGGAATGATGAAAATGGTATTGAAGGGTGATTGTTAGATTCTTAGTATTCAGAGTAAGATGGAGCATAGGGAAACCATAACTAGGGATGTCAAGAGGCATTTATGGTAATCGAGGAGTGAAGTAATGAGAATCTTAGAAAGCTAGCAGTAGTGAGACTGATGTATGAACATTTTGAGAGATGAGTTACAGATTAGGTTTTCTGATTATGTGTGGGCTTCATTCAGCCATGCCATGGTCTATTGTTATTAGGATAATTGGAGAGTTGATGACACTAGCATGATTAAAGTTTTTTTTGCTTTTAAAGTAACAGTTTTATTAAGATGTAATTCACATACTGTACAGTTCACCTTTTAAGATTTTAATGTAATTGGAGTATGCAGATAAAAGCCAAGGTTTTCAGAGATACAAGTAAATATAAAACTTTGCTTACACGTGTGGGCTGTTACTTGAGAGTATGAAGGTATTCATAGATAATTTGGTCAGTAAGCAGGGGGTGGAACTGGAAGGCCCTTGCTTTGTAGAAGAAACCTGAGACTGCAAGGTTGGAAGCCCTGTCTGGAGGGTACACATCCTTGGTTCCCATCTAACAGCTGTGGGACTTTGGGCTAAAGCTCAGTGACCTGTCTCCCTTTCTGTAAAGCAGGAACACTAATTGAATTGGCTTGTTGGAAAAGCTTAATGGGATGATGCATGTAAAAGGACCAAGACCCAATGCCTGAAACATAATAGGCAGTCAAAAGGAAAAAAAGAAAGACAAAAGAAGTCTGCAGATGAGCTTTGTAGGTTCTTGGAGACATTGATTTAATAGAGTTGTTCCAGTGTTCAAAGACAAAATGTAAGTGATGTAAACATTTTCTGTAAAATTTTTGGTAAGCTGAGGTATTTCTTTGCTATGGCAGGAGGTAGATTGACTCTTTAACCTTTTTGTTCTATTGCTAAATATCTGTTCAGGCACATTGTGCAAATTCACTCTTCAGGAGACCCCCCTCTTGGATCTGGCCACCTTTGTGAAGTTTTGAATTTGTGGGAGGGAAGCTAAAAACAGTGTGATGATAGGTTTATTATGTAACTGAAGGTGGTGTGATCAAGCTTTCCAGTGACAACCTGAAAACGTCAAAGTTAGTGTGCAGACAGTGATGGCCTTCACCTGTGGATCAGTTGGCTATCGTTATCTTGTTAGTTTAGGTACACAGAAGAGTCAGATAATTTAAGCTCTGATACAGCTTTTCTTTAACACGGAATTGTTTATTTCAGATCGGGTCTTTTTGAATGTTATTTTCTGAAGAGATACATAGCATTTTATTTGAACTTTTTGTGAACACTAGCAGTGTTTATGTCATTCTGCCAATGGCATGTACATGTTAAAGTGAACATTGTCCCCTTGCTTTAGCTAAAACTTTGGGGTACAATGCAACCATCTAATATGCTCAGTATTACATAGTACTTTTTTTTTCTTAGAATTGAGATGTAGAAAAGAAGCTAGCTCTTTTCTCTCCTGTTTTGTCTTCTCATATTTTTTTATTCCCTGAAATGATAGGTGAATGGGAGGAAGATAAGCCCTTTTTCTTCCCTCCCTGAAAGAATGAGACTGTTGGAAAGAAGCCCACAGTAAAATTAGCATGATAAAATCAGAACTTCAATGAGTTTCAAAAAAGAAAAAATGTGACTTTTTAAAATTAATGAATTAACTGGAAAATTCTTGACCTTAAAATAATTCTTTACTTTTTAAAAAACTGAAGCTATAATTTTTCAATACTGGGTCATGAAGAAATACTCACATTGTAAATATACAAGTATAATGAGGTTAAGTAAAATATTTGTGGTAATAATAGTTTAAAAATTTAATCTAAAATTGTGTTGTTTATTTGATGATTATAGCTTCTTGTGGAAAAGGATTACATGACAAGATTCAGTTTTAAACACCTGTTAGTTCCAGAAGGAACAATTTTTGCTTCATTATTCCATATTTTATCCTTTGTAATCCAACCTTTGTTTCTGTGTTTTTGTATTTTTCTTGCAGTATAGCAGGTGTAGTGTTGAAAACCATGAGCTTCTGAGTTAGACTGCCTGAGTAAAACCTTCATTTACCTTCCTGTGTCTTTGTTTCCTCATTTGTCAGAAGCTTTTGCAATGTCAAATGAGATATTGCTTGAAAAGCTCTTAAAATAGAGTCTGGCACGTAATAAATGTGCAATAAGTATTAACTGTTATTTTTATATTTCAACTTTATTGTATATTTACATCTGCCTTTAAAGACTATGCTAAAGACATTTTGCTTTTGTTTAAGTACTTAGGGCTTTCTGCTGATTATGAAACTGCTTTAGAAATTTAGAAACTGTATTTGACCCATTTAAGTTGTAGATTTGCTTTGTCCAGGAGGTCAG